GCCTTCTGGTTAGCAGTCAAGTGCCTTAGGCACTATGCTACCAGAGCTCTCTGCCAGGCTCAAAGGGAGGCCTCCTAGAGGCAGAACTCTCTCTGACTGCTGGCTGAGAAGGATATGCTGCTGAGAAGAAACGCGCTCCTGAGAGACGTGCTGCTGGGAGAGAGACACAAGGGACGTGCATTGCTGAGTGAGACACTGAGGGACATGCACTGCTGGGAGAGAGACTGTGAGAGACTGTTGGCTGAGAGACGATGGGCTGAGAGAGACTGAGCGTTTTTCCTGAACTTGATTTGTAGTCTAGTGCTTCCCTAATAAACCCCATAATCTGTGAGTTCTGTGTGGCCACTGCAATGAATTATTGAACCCAGCAGAAAGGTGGTGGGTGCTGAGGGAGGAACGGTTGGTGTCAGGGTTGGTGAAAGGGCTGGAGGGAGGTAGCATGTCTGGCCTCACAGTAATGGGCCTTGGGCTATTAATAGTGATTCTGTTTTCCTCTTGTGTGGTTAGAGGAGGTCAGAAGATGTGGCCTCCCTGCCCCTTTTGCAAGTGATTACTTTCATTCAGCATGATGTCCTCTAGATTCATCCATGTTATGAGATGTTTCACAGATTCATGTTTATTTTTTAACATTGTTTAGTATTCTGTTGTGTGTAAGTGTCATAGCTTGTTTACCCACTCATCCATTGATAGACACTTAAGTAGTTTCTGTCTTTTTACTATTGTGAATAATGCTACAAAGAACATGGGTATGTATATATTTGTTTGTGTCCTGGCTTTTACTTCTCTAGGATATATACCTATAATGGGATTGATGGATTGTACGGTATTTCTGTTTCCAACTTTTTAAGGAAATGCCATGCCATTTTGCAGTGTTTGCACCATTTTACAGGCCTACCAGCAGTGTGTGAGGGTTCCAGTTTCACCACACATTCACCAGCATTTGTTGTTTTCTGCATTTGTAATCTTTTTTTTTTTTTTTGAACTTTTTTTTTATCTTGTTGTGATTTGCATCTCTCTGATGGGTAATGACTGCAAGCATTTCTTCGTGTATTTGTTGGTCTCCTGAATATCTTCTTTGGTGAAGTGTCTTTTTTCTGTTCATATCCTCTGCCAGTTTTTCAATTGGATTGTTAGTCTTTTTGTTGTTGAGGTGTTCAAGTTTTCTGTACATTTTAGAGATTAGTCCCTTGTCTGATACACAGTTGTCAAACATTTTTTTCCCGGTCTGTAGGTTCTCATTTTACTGTTTAGATGAAATCTTTTGATGTGCATAAATGTTTAATTTGGGGGGGGGCAGTCATCTAGTTTGTCTTCTGTTTATGCATTTTTAGTTATATTCAATAGCATATTTATGCCATGTATTAGGGCTCCTATGTTTGGCCCTATTTTTTCTTTGATGATCTTTATAGTTTTAGGTTTTACATTTAGGTTTTTGATCTATCTTGAATTAGTTTTTGTACATGATGAGACATATGGATCCTGTTTCATTTTTATGCAAGTAGATATCCAGTGCTACCAGTACCATTTGTTAAAGAGATTATCTCTTCCCCATTTAATAGGTTTCGACCCTTTGTCAAAGATCAAGTGTGCATAGGTGAATAGATTTACATCTGAGTTCTCAATTCTTTTCCATTTGTCTATATATCTGTTACTGTACCAATACCAGGCTGTTTTGAATACTGTGGCTATATAGTAGGTTTTGAGATCAGGGAGTGTGGAGCCTCCTACTTTGCTCTTCTTCAGTAGTGCTTTGCATATTATCCAGAGTCTCTTTCCTTTCCATATGAGGGTGGTGATTTGTTTTCCCACCTCTTTAAAGAATGATGATGGAATCTGGATCAGGGTTCCCTTCTATCTGTTGATTGCTTTGGGTAGTAGTGACATTTTCACAATGTTAATTCTTCTATCCATGGACATGGTATATTCTTCTATTTATGTGGGTTTCCTTTGGTTTCTTGTATTAGTATTTTGTACTCTTCTTTGTATAGGCTTTTGTATCTCTAAACCAAAATTTCTAAGTATTTCATCTTTTGGGGGGCTATAACAAATGATATTGTTTTTCTGATTTCCTTTTCAGAGCTCTCTTTGTTAGTGTAGAGGAATCCAATTGATTTTTGTATGTTGATCTTGTACCCTGACACTTTGTTGAATCATTCTATTAATTCCAGTAGTTTTATTGTTAAGTCTCTGGGATTTTCTATGTATACATTCATGTCATCTGCAAATAGAGATAGTTCTACTTCTTTGCCAATTTGGATGCTTTTTATTTTACTTTCTTGCCTTATTACTCTGGCTAGGACTTCCAATGCAATATTGAATAGGAATGATGATAAAGTTCATCCTTATCTGGTTCTTGTTCAGAAGGGAATGTTTTTAGTCTCTCCCCCTTGAGAATAATGTTGGCTGTTAGTTTTGTGTAT